TACATTATGTAAGGTGATAAAATGGAATAAAAAAGATTAAGGTAAAATAATTAAAGGAAAACATTATGCATGTACATTAAGAATGTTTAAAATAATTAACAAACAAAAAATATACAAAAACGTAGGTCTAAAAGAACAATTTGAACCCACAGTAAGAGGCTTTGCTATGTTAAACATTCTTACTGAGTGACACATGTGATTTTCTTACATACACTTACAAGTGAAAGTAAACAGGAGGGATATCCCAGTCTTAAAATAGCAAGTTCAACTATCAGATATTATGTATGCAAATTAGGCAGGTTAATAATTTTGGTCTAAACTGATACATTTAAGCATGGTCTATATTGAAGTTGCCATTACAAAAAAGATTATTTTCATTTCAAATAAGTGCAACATTATCATTTAAATATTTCTAAAATTTAATGCTTTATCATAAAGGGACACAACTAGTATTGAAATTATAATGAAATAAAAAAAAAATTCAAATAATTGAATAATTGCTCTGAATAATAAATAGATAGGTGAAACATCACAAAAGTCAACACAACAAAGTGAATGATAATAAATTAATAGTTAATATAGTCAATACATGATTCAAGAATAACTCATCAAAGTTAAACTGTAGTTTCAGTTACTGTCATATTGCAATTAACAGTCAAATGTTCATTTTATTTCACTAAGGAGTTCTAGCCATTACAATTACCTGGTAGCTATAAATGATCAGTTTCATATAAAAACCTTTCAATGATTTTAAGATTTTGACTCACACTTATATAGCACAAGTTCTAGGGGCCACAACTCTGAACAAAATAACAATTGATAACAGACTTTACCAATTTAGGTAAGTGTTCAGCTTTGTTTAGGCGGTGGCAATATTTCTGATTCTTCCATTGATTGATATAATTTATTATATAATATTTCTAAAGATGATGTGTGGAAATGATTGCAGCAAAGTGATCATGGACTAATAGATGGACATAATATATTCGCAGATTATTTAAGCAAATAATATAAAGCAAGTCATGTTTTGACATGATTACAAATTGCTTTCATTTGACTGCATGAAAAATACCATTCTTCTACATACCTACTGTGACTTACAAAGGCTAAGTGATTTTACACTGATAGATTTTGACAACTGTTGAGCATAAAGAAAGCATTAAAAAAGACACACCAAAACTTATAATATCTTAATGATAAATTGAAGTATCTTCAGACATTAAAAAGTAGAATTGAATGCAAGGTCAATGAGAAAAAATAATCATCATTATCAATGACAAGAGCGATCAGTAATCACATGTGTCGCCTCATGATGGCCAATTTCATGTTGGGACAAATTTTGTGACAGACGGACAGACAAACAGACGGACAGTGCACAACTAGACTTGGTACTGATCATTCCTGTAAAGTTTGGATAAAATTGCACCAGTAGTTTATGAGGAGTAGTCCGAACAAGCTTTTGCGTATCTGGCAACACACAGAAAAAAAACACCTTTTTATCAAAGGGCCATAACTCAGCCAAAAATCATTCAACCGGAAAACCCGTGCAATATGCGCAAGGACTTGAGCTACAGATCAATCCTTTTAAGTTTCATTGAAATTGCATTAGTGGTATAAGAGAAGTAGTCCGGACAAACTTTAAAAATAAAAATTATTAAAGGGCCATAACTCAAACAAAAATCATTGAACCGGAAAAAATGCTGACAATATGCACAACTATACTTGGTACTGATCATTCCTGTAAAGTTTGGATGAAATTGCACCTGCAGTTTATAAGGAGTAGTCCGGACAAGCTTTTGTGTATCTGGCAACACACAGAAAAAGAAACCTTTTTATCAAAGGGCCATAACTCGGCCAAAAATCATTCAACCGGAAAACCCTTGCAATATGCGCAAGGACTTGAGCTACAGATCAATCCTGTAAAGTTTCATTGAAATTGCATTAGTGGTATAAGAGAAGTAGTCCGGACAAACTTTTAAAAGAAAAATTATTAAAGGGCCATAACTCTGACAAAAATCATTGAACCGGAAAATGCTGACAATATGCAAAACTAGACTTGGTACTGATGATTCCTGTAAAGTTTGGATGAAATTGCACCAGTAGTTTATGAGGAGTAGTCCGGACAAGTTTTGTGACGGACGGATGGACAGACAGACAGACAGACAGACGGACAGACAGACGACGGAGAAGTGATCCCTATATGTCGCCACTACTCCGTAGAGGCGACACAAAAATCTCAAATTAACATAAAAGGGCCATAACTCTGTATAAACATTAACCTGACTTCCGGGTATAGAAAATAATTATGCTCCTCAGTTATCTTCTATAATCAGTTCTGAACACTTGACATGGTTATTAGGTGGAAAAATACAAAATCCAATATATAAATTTAAATGCATACAAACATTTCAAATTTTGTAATAGAAAGATGCATATGCATCAGAAAAAATCCCATCGGCATGGGATTCAAACAAAAACAACTGGCTTACAAACAAATTAAATCAAATGCTTTAGACCACTTAGCCAAAGAATCAATTCCCTGCATGACACAGATAACGGATTGTAGATTGTATTTCAGGTAATCTAGGTAGGCGTGCACTTATTTGTTACAAAGCGAATGACCTTTGCTATAAACCAAGCCATTTCGATGTTAAGTTTAATGTAACATTCTTTATTTTACAGTTCACATTGTGGGAATATTTGTGACAGGTAATAAAAAGGTTATAAAAAAGATATGAATAGAATTGTGTAGCATACTCAGCTTTATTCATCATTTTACAGGGATAATTGCTTATCATCTTTTATCAAGTCTGCTTCCTAAAATTGACCAATTGATTACAGGTGCTAACAATATTTTGCAACAGGATACAGTTATTGTATTTTAAGTGCTGACTATTGCATCTTCCTATAGTTGATATATCTATAGATATTTCTGGTCCCTCAGAATTACTGGTGGGACTTAATTATGTTATTCCGCTATTATTACTGCAGTTGCTCTGTATGCCAATATACTACCTATAAAAATTACTATGGCACATATATAAGGACATAATTATTATATACTTTTATTAGTGTGAAATTCATTTATTTTGTATGTCCGGGACTTGGCAAAGTTGTGCTTTTCACATCTAATTCAGGGGTATCAAAATTATTTCCCCAAGTTGTTATTGTAAAAGTTTGTTTTATACCCAAGGATAAGACGAGACAAACTCACGCACCCCAGGATAAGACGAGACAAACTCACGCACCCAAGGATAAGACGAGACAAACTCACGCACCCAAGGATAAGACGAGACAAACTCACGCACCCCCGAGGATAAGACGAGACAAACTCATGCACCCCAGGATAAGATGAGACAAACTCATGCACCCCAGGATAAGATGAGACAAACTCACGCACCCCAGGATAAGACGAGACAAACTCACGCACCCCAGGATAAGACGAGACAAACTCACGCACCCCAGGATAAGATGAGACAAACTCATGCACCCCAGGATAAGATGAGACAAACTCACGCACCCCAGGATAAGACGAGACAAACTCACGCACCCCAGGATAAGACGAGACAAACTCACGCACCCCGGGATAAGATGAGACAAACTCACGCACCCCAGGATAAGATGAGACAAACTCACGTACCCCAGGATAAGATGAGACAAACTCACAATATTGCTGAGTTATGGAGTATCTTAATTGATAATTTCTTTAATCAATATTTGATGACAGTCAAACCCTAACTTAATTCTTTCAGATTGTGTCAAATTCAAAAATCAAGTTTACAAGAATTTCAGGTAAAACTGGGATGTTTCACATTTTAATAATCAATGTTACGTGATGAAATTTTTTCAGCAATGCAAAATAATGTATATGTCAGTTCTTATATTTTGTGTCCTTAAATAAAGAAAAACTTTCAAATTAATTTAGATAACACATGAGTCTGTGCAATATAGTCCATGTGTTTAGGAAATAGATATCAATTCTGAGTGCATAATGTTGTAGAATAATGCAGGGTTTGAGTTCAAATGCGTAGTAATATAATCACGAAGGCCGATAGGCCTGAATGATTAATTACAAAGCATTTGAACGAAAAACGTGCATTATCATACAATAATGCACAAAGAATTAATATCTATTTCCATTCTAACATGTCAAGAAAATATAATTATTATTGTAATGTTGGACTTTATGTTTGCTGGTTAAATTTGTTTTCGCCTCAGAGTTTCCAATAGAAACGTTCTTTAAAGGCTGTTCCAGTGGTATGAAAAAAAACTGTCGTTAAATCTTCCATGTGTAGAAACATTTTGAGAATAACAAATTTTGAAAACGTTGATAAAACTTTGTTTGTTTATTTTATTTCACTCCATAATTTTTCAATCGAAATAAAAATTATTGAAAGTGAAATAAATGTAAAACTTAACTCGTTTGCGACATTAAATAGCGTACTTGATTTGATTGTTATGCACGTGCTGTTTGGCGCTACATTGTGACGTCACGTAAACAATACTTTAAACGTATGTACAGCGTTAACGAGTGAATAAAAGATATTGGTGTTCGGATTCATTTTCTTAGTTAGACCATTTTTTTTCATTCTAGATAGTTTTCACAACAAAATTCGACAAAAAATTGTTTTTATTTATCAGATTTTTCAAATAAAATGGCGCCCTCAATGTGAAAATACACATGGAGATAATAAGAACAGCGAGTGCATTGTTGTAGAATAATGCACGCTTCGGGCCTTCTTTGTTTATATAGAAAAAATTTCCAATAGTGTTAGAATTTGCCTTTTAACCAGGGATTTCAAGTTCTTTTGCCCAATCACTACCATGTTTCCTGGTATGACATCAGTATTGGTTAGTTTAACTGATGAATATTTAAAAAAATCTAACACAACATAATTAACATAAGTATGTTAAAATTTATAAGTTAAGTGTTAATTTTGAAACTGAAAGTAGATATTTTGGTGTGTCTTTATGTAACAGCAAAGCGTCTAAACACTTACGCAAAATAATTGGCACTCGTTTAATCTGGATAGGCTGGGGTATTTTTTTCCTGACAATAATTGGTATAGGTATGGTGGCTTTGAAAAAGATAAAAAAACAAATAACCAAACAATAAGTTTTAGCCATATAAAAGCTTCACTTCTTTAGCATCTATTTTTAAGGAAGCAAAATATAACTCCTTTATAAAATTTATGAAGTTTTTCGAAAATATAAACATTCTTAAAAAAGGAAGGGGAAAAAATAATTCAATATACAGTTGACTCCACTTATAAAGAACTTCCTTATAATAATCGGTAAAAGCAAACTAAATCTGCTATCCCCGGCCGATTCCTTCTTTATTTTATATTAAATAGCATCGCTTAATACGTACTCGCTTAAAATGAATTTTCTGCTATAGCGAACCATATTTTCAAGCCCCAAACGGTAAAAACTATGTTAATTTCCTCAGTTAAAACAATTTGTTATTATTGAAATATCGGGATGCACTCGATTAAGATCAGTACATGAATAGCGCTATCTGATAATTATTTAATCAAGTGATTGCACAGGTAAGTTATGGCTTCAAAGAATAAAGATTCTCACAACATAATTTCCTTGTCACGGAAAGTTTGTATTTCCCACCTTCAGTTGATAAATTGCTGACAATACCCGATAAGTACCAAACAATCAATGTTTTTGTATGCATTATTAACCAAACAATAACAAGCAAATAGCAAAAAAATACAAATGGTAAGCACTTTATAGTCTAAATACATGTATATTGTTCAATAAAATACCCTGCAATGAATACTGCTACCGTAAAATAATGATTACACCTGTGACTAATGACAGGTTGGCTTTTTCACGGCAAACTCAGGCCCACCCAAACAAGTCAGCAAGCTGCTTCTACTTCGCTTTAAGTGAACTTCGGATATAACGAACGATATCTAAATGTCCCATTGAGTTCGTTATAAGCGGAGTCGACTGTATATATATATTTCAGATTTGGAAAAACTATCTGTTTTTCTTGTTTGTTTTGTTTTCATGGAAAATATTTTGCTTCTTGAATATATCTAGAACGGCTACATGCTAAAACGTTTATCGCTATGACAACAGTATCTTACGAGGATGTGGCGGAGGCTGCGGATTGTAAATTGGCGGTTGTGGCGGAGGGATGTATTTCGGCATTCTCACAGGTACGGGTATTACTTTCCTTTCTGCAAAATTATCTTTGTTAATTTTAAAATAAAAATTTGAAGTTTTCTGCAATGATAATAACTGGTCATTTATTTACTGACTGCTACCACTGCTATAAATCAAGCACTTTTAATTTGTTCATTATATCAGTCTTCCGTTTTAAATAATTAAAAGGTTATCAAAAAGAAAAATTTCAGGAAAATGACTTAAGTTTTTGAATTTTTGAATATTTCACTTCAGGGTTCAAATTTAGTTATATTTAGCTCTTATGTGTGTTACCAAATAAACAAAAGAACAATTTTCAAACAATTAAAAGTGCTACAAATTTATAGCAATATAAAATTTTGTTAATCTACCAAAACTTAATAGTTAATTCTATAATAGTATTATTTTATACAAGTATTCTACTTACCCAAAGTAAATATCTAGTTTTCTAACAAAATTAAACATATCAACACAAATAATCAAAAATTCAAATGTCAAGGACATGCACTGAACTTGTTACCTAGCAACTACTGTCACCATCACCATATCCTGCAAAAAGCTGAGTCAGCGCTTAAAATAATTCATGATAATTTGGCAGCCACAAATAAATTATTGTTGTTTTTTTTTAAAGAAAATAAAAAATCAGAACTGGATTATGTAAGCAAAATTTCAAATCATACAAATTCAATGTACATTTTGTACATGTAAACAAAATCTGTGTATCATTGCCAAATTACCATAAATAAGTACACTTTAAGTGATTCCATTTCCAACACAAACTAATTGTGGCTTTGACAATCATGCCAGTCACTTATCCTTTGCTTTAATATTATTTTCAAGTAAAAATTTAGTTTTTCTAGCCATTTTTTTTAATGATAGTTTGATGCTTTTAACATTCAAAAATCTATATTTATATATTTTTTTATCAAACCCTTGCCAAACAAAACATTACATATACATGTACTATATTTTAAGAGGGTGAAAATCACCTTTGAAAATTGGGAAAGATAATGAAAATATTCTGGTTGCACTAGGATATAAATGACCCACATTAAACAGTAAAATATATTTACCATACCTGATTCTGACTCCTTTGGTGTCTTTACATCTAATATACAGATATCATGATAATTAATACATAACAAACTTTAAAATAATTGGCTTGCAGAACTTAAATATATCTATTATTTTTATCAATGAAAAAACAAATGCCACGGGATCATAAAATATATATCAATGTTTAATTTTGTCAATGCTACATATACCGGATATATCAATGTTCTTTGACTTTTCCTCAATTATTGTCAAATTTAATATAATAAAAAAAAGTTAATTATATCACTGAATAAGAAAATTTAATCATACATTTATGCAAATTTTTCACTACAAAAGAATATGGCTTGTGTTGAAATTTCTATGTTTACTTTTAACTTTGTATTGTCATCATGTAATATCATCTATAAATTGAATAAAAGAATGCTTAATATAAATACTGAAATTTTAAATTGAAACTGTGGGTTAATGTTGAAAATTCAGAACATTTGCGCTTGCAGTAAAATGGTCTTATAAAGTTTGTAAGATAAACAGGCAGATTGCACCATTACACCACATGCAGACTGCGGTTTAACCAGCTACTGAATATATATGCTTCCTCAGCTTCCAAAATATATTAAATGGTCAGTCTGCACAGATGCACAGTCTGCCCAGTGCCTCTATAAGTGGTGAGTTGCAAGTTGGTTTGAAATAATAATAACATGTACTGTCTTGATTGACTGGTTTGGTTGTTTAGTCAGACACTGTAAAGGTCATATGTCACTTTCAAACTTTACTGGTGGAGGAAAACTTCAGGTACCAATAAATCTCTGTACATTATTTCAGGCAAAAGCAGTGAGTGGAACTTCAGATGACCCATAAGCTACCTAAACAGCTTCATTCATTCATTCACAATCATTCATTCATTCACAATCATTCATTCAAATTCATTCATTCATCCATCCAACTGACAATTGTATTAGTAATAATACATTAACTTAAATTAAAAATAAAATGATTAAAAATAACAATGTCAACAATATCAAATATCATCAATAACAACAGCTATAACATAAAGAATATTGAGTTTTCATTTTAATTTTCACTATGTATATAATTGTAAAATTAGTAAATAATTTTTACATCTGTTTTTGAAAAATTGTAGTGTTATACAATGTTTTATAGTACAGTAAACTCAACTTACAACAATATCACTTATAATGATATCCTGCTTATAACTATGCTTATAAACGTTGCTGTTGCTGCAGTCCCCACTCTTGTTTTCAAGTTAGTTGCATCTCGGATATAACAATATCCGGATATAACAATATAAATACGGAGGTCCACCGAATATCTTTATAAGTGGAATTAACTGTGTTATTCAATTTGTTCCAAAATTAAAATTCCAAATTGACCTTCCTGATGAATAGTTATATTTTATTCATGGGCAAAATCATTAAACAGTTTAATCTATTTTAGTTTAAAGCAATATTGTATATCAGTGATTTTGTTAAAATTCATTCCAATATAGTAACAAACTATTTATCAGAAAGGTACTTGTAAAAGTATTCTTGTCTGTAAATAATCTTCTACACTACAATCATGTATATAGTCATATTCATCATGACATTTGATAAAGGTGAAATACGTCTTTTTATAGTAAATATTAAAATGCTTTGAAAGCTCAGTCATAGTGCTCAGGTGAGCAGCCATCTTTTGTGGCCATTTACTCTATTTCAAAGTATAGTCTGATTTTATTGACCTGTCAATTATGAATACATTATAGGACTCATTTAAATATTCGATCCCACTTCGGTTTGGTCCGTGTAGTTTACGAGAATTAATGTGGAGTATATTAGTCATGGATTGAAAGTCACGCCAGCTTAATGTGAAGGTTTTCGTTAATTCACAATAGGACAGTCGGTAAAGAGAATGCCTGATAATTGAGAGGTCTGTGGTTCGATCCTAACTGTTGCCATTGTTTTAATACTCTTTCTTTATTTTTGCAGCATATTTTAATGGAACAGATATGTAGTGTGTTTTACGGCATTGAAAAGACATTTATTGATTTTACTCCGTTTTAATTTTAAACATGAATTCTTAAAAAAACATGTTATTTAAAAAGAGTATATACATAACAAAATTAAGTAAAACATAATCAAACGATACGAACAACATAAAATGATCATATATAAATTCAATAATGTTGGAAGTATTACTAAGAAAAAAACATGGACCAACGCGGCCTCGAACTTAAAACACGTGTAGCACTTAGATTATAAACTCGTGATTTACCCTATTGGGCTATAACGCTGAGTACACTTAGTTTAGAGATAGAAATTAAATCAAATTCCATCGTACAGCGTACATCTCACGGAACTTACCGAACATCTCCCGAAGATTAATATACTGTGTGCATCGACCGTGTAATCAGTATGTAATTGACAGGTTAATAAAACCAAACAATATCTCAGTCAATTTTAAAGGTGTATATCTTAGAACTTCACCTTTATCAGAAAGGTCAAGGTGAATATCTGTTATATGACATTATAGATTACACAATTACACATTGTAGTACTATCTAAAATATATTAAATTAATATGTGAAATACACATGTTTGACAAAACAATTCTAACCAATTGTATAAAATGTAGATAAACGAGAAATAGTAACATTATAGATAACACAATTTCACATTGCACTTATCTAAAATATATTAAAATATGTGAAATATGACAAAATAATTCTATCCAATTTTAATCTACAAATAAAATAAAGATAAACCATTAAATGAGCATTTTAAAACTTGTACAGTTCAATAAATTTTAAATACATTATGTTTTACAAATTAGAAATCCAAACAAGCCTATCACAAAATAATCAAATTAGATTAAAATTAACGCTAAGAAAAGATATAAAAAAACCTGGAAAATACTGTGGACCAATGGAATAACCACCCCACTGTGGCATAAGAGAAGGAGGTCCCAAATATGGCATTCTTGGTCGTTGTAGCAACGTTGGCACGGAAACTCGCTCAGCTGGCATTACATTCATGTACGGATATCCATTAAACACTCCAGGATGAAATCCTCTTGGATACGATCCCATAATGTTTCTCCCACCAGGTGTGAATGGACGGCCACGAAGTCCACGAGGCTCACGTCCTTCTTGAGTAAAAGGACGATCAGGCCCTCTGTCTCCTTGTGAAAATGGTCTATATCCGTAAGGAACGAGAGAATTGCTGGGCCGAATAGGTTTACTACCTTCTAATGCTGGTGTCAAAACCTGTTGGCGTCTTTGTTCAAATTTAGACATAACACTTTTTATGACACCACTTTATAAATGCTTTAAGTAGCAACACTTAATCCATACAAAACATTGGAAATTGATTTCTTAAAGCACATCTGATGTTTTTATTCCGCTCCCACCAGCATAGTGAATAGATCTATATTTACTATTTCACTAATAATCTATGCCTTCTGGCTACTAACTTATTACAATAGAAAAATATATTTCAATATTCACAATAAATATTTTTTCATCAAAAAACTCCTTTTCTCCTTTTTATATCTGTATTCTACACATTAACTGGAGTAAAAAATAAAAATTGTAAGCATCTTGCATTAACTTAATTGAAGATCTCCCACAAGGCTATTGTTCACTTAACAAAACATGCGTAATAATTATCTTAATTTAGGAAATAATACACAACACTTTTAACGCCACCGTTTTGTATTTAATTTAAAAACATCGCTTGAAAACCATTATGAATCTATATACGATCATAAATGGACAAATCAATAATGTTTGAATCAAGCCCTGATTCATACTTTGGCTTATTTAAACACTTTTTATTGTAAAGGAGAGGCCTTTTCATACATCTTACGCAGATTTTTATGATTTAAATGAACATCATGGCATTCTTGAATTCAAGCGAATTTTTATGTGATCCTTTTTTAACAATTATGCTTCAACCAGACAAATATTTCAAAAAGACAAACAGTTGATGAATTAGGCAATTTGTAAATAGTCATCTTGATATAAATCTGCCTTTAACACCATTAAATCTGTAAATAATTATAATAAGCATATCATAATATAATATGTCACATAATGAAGTTTAATGTAATTAAAAATGCTTTAAATAAATTAATTAATCATAAAAAACAACAATCATTAAACGTTTTGGTTGTTGCGGGGAGGGGGAGGTGGTTGGATTATGGGGTCAAGTAATACATTCTCAATCAATCTGTTTATATGATATGACATTCCAGCTTTACGTGTAAAAGACGCAGACCTGACAGACACCTCTTCTGTACATAATTTCACAAGTAGATTTACAGATTTTCATTCCTCACATGCATAATTTCAAAGTTCCTGACAAGGACAAGTGTTTTTGAACAAGTCTTTTTGAAGTCAGCAACCCTAATATTTACTAATCACGTGTCTGATTTCATTTTCTCATATTCAGGTAAATATAATAATTAAGACAGTCAATGTTCTTAATTTTATTGCTGACATTTTAGCATAATGAATTTAAAACAGGACAACATATTGTTGTCGCCATATTTACAATGATTTCTCTAGGAAAATGAATTCTAAAACTCAAAACATTTCAACCAAGCTAAGCTTAAATCTTATTGAGGAGGGCTTTTTTTTCAAACCTACTGATTCAAAAGTTCATTTATAAATCTTTTAATATATATTTAAAATTATAGTGACAAATATCAAAGTTGAACGCCCGGTTCCAGCCTTAGTGCTTTCTGTGCTGTCCCTAACCAGGCTTCTATTATAAGCTTGCTTGATTATATCTTTATAATGAAACAACCTTCAATAACTTTTATGGACTGTTCTTGGATTCCATAAACAGGAATTTATTCTATCATAAATATTTTTAAAGGTTAGGTTTAAATTATAATTCTATATCATGTAATAGAACACTTACTTTCTCTCCCTTAAATAAGTTATCTTTCTCATATAGACAAAAAACGCGTATATCTCTCTTTCCTTATTGAAAAGTTTTAAATTAATGTTTTTTTTCCAATCTTTCTTCTTTTAGTGCATACTGTTAAATTAGAATTTTCACCATTTCCATTTTCTCAAAACAATGTCTTATATGAAATTTTTAAAATCTCAAATCTTCCCTGTTGGTTTCCAATTTACATCGCCAGTCCTTATGAGTATGTTAACCTTTAGATTTGAATTATACTACTTATAGCAACATTTTCCAATATAACTAGGCAAGCCTCATGATAATTGATTTGGTTTCTCATTTTTCTCAAAGTATATTAGATAATCAACTATTAATCATTGATTCTCAAACCTATGATCTTTAGAGGGACTTCCACTGTGAATTGGGACTCGAAAATTATTTTTTTTTAAATAAATGTTCCATTTGATCGCAAGGTTTTAGACAAAATAGATAAATTTTGATGTGCAAAATTTCAGGACCAATAAATCGCCTACACTCTGTTTTATGTTTCAGTCATGTTTATTCTAAATAAATAGCTAATAAATAACTCAAGAAATTTAAAAAGTATATCCAAGCTGATCACAATCACTAGCGCTGCACCTAATATATATGATTTTTTTTATATTTCTGGAGGTATATTGTTTTAAAACTATCCTTTGCAATAATTGATTCATGATTTTAAAATATTCAACTCAGAACACAAGGAAATGTCATAAAGAACACACGATGAGCTCTGAACCGCTGGTGTGCTCAGTAATTAATCTAGTAAGGGAATTTCAAATTAAAACTTTTTCAGCTTTTTGTGACCATACAGTGAGAAGTGGTTCTCTTTAGTTTCATGCCCTTTAAGTCAATTAACATGTACCCAACATCATGAAGACATAATATATTTGTCCCTACTGTAAACATTTGAAGCTGCGCACTCTCTCAATGATAACAAACCAACTCAATAAGCACCCGTTTCTCTCTGACATAAGCATGGATCTCCTGACCAAGCATGACGTTCAGCCCAGTTCTGATTCTAGGATCCATGCCTATATCGTTTATCTCAGTTTTTCTTGCGTGAGCCTTGTGTATTAGGGTTTGTAAGCGAACAGCATGGATTCCTTGATCAGACTGCATGGATGCAAAGGCGGATATTTATTTTTTTGTGTAGAGACTCCATGACTCGGTTCGCAAACCATTATGTTTGGTTTTGTCACTTGGACGTCTGGCTCTATTAGTCGTGCGCGTATGCATTTAGTTTTTATTAATTTTAGTTATTTATATACTGGTACATTCACAAAAAAAACTTTTGTTTTCTTGGCCTTGGTTTATTAAACTTAGTTTTTGATTTGATGGTTCACAACCTTGTACGTAGCCGTAAGTCATGTCATCCCATAAAACAACAGCTTATAATACCAATTAAAAATTAATTCCTTTGGTTGAACTCTAATTTTTGGGCTGAAAGATAATGGAGCATATTTAATTGCTACAGCCGTTATATTAGCCGCCTAGAAACACAATGGCAAACAGAAACGTATTTAGTACTTTTTGTAAACCTGCTATGTTAAATGTTTTTGAAATTATTTCATTTTAACTTGATTTTGATGAAAGCTTTAAAGCAAATTGGAAAAATTGAGTCTGCTCCTAGGAATATAATTAGCATCTCTCTATACATACAAATTTATTCACAACTTTCTTCTTCAGGATTAATTTAGATCTCAAAAATAGGGCATCTTTGAATCTACCTGGAGATCTAATAGTTACTAATATGTTAAGACAACCATCGCGCAGTACAGACATTAATTCTCCTTAAAGTATTTTCCTTTACTATTTTAAAAATTACTAGGTAAACCACATAATGCGGAACAACGTCAAAACTCTCTGGGGAGTTTGAGATAGCACTCCCAAACAAATTGGCAAGGACGTTTTACTATATAAATTGATGGTAGCCTTTTTGATTTTGACATCCTTGGTCTTGGCGAGTTGACAAATATTGAGACTCTCTAGATGCTTGGAAACCAATGATCCCACTGTATTTGAGAGGCAACATCTTAGATCAATTAGAACACAACTCAAGTTTATAGCATATAGTATTTTAGATATCATTGGAACCATGCATAATCTTGTTTTAATCATTCCTCACTACAATGTATGTTCTATAAGAAGATATTGACTTTTCTGAATAAAACCTTCTTTTAAAAGACATAACAACATATATAAATAAGTACCTTCATCTCTGCCTTAAATTTTTTTAAAAGTAGAAAATTTTTACTGCAACAATATTTTTTTATTTATACAATTAACAAAACTTGTTTAATTGTACACTATCATTTCTGCTTATTAGAAAATCTGTTTTCCATGCTAAACCTTTAATTGTATTACTTGAACTTATAGAGACTGAACATTATTGACACTCTTTGAATACATGATTGGGATCCTGTTAACTAAATCAAAATCATAGAAATAGGCTAGTGCCGCAACATATTCAGACGCCCAACAGAGACTGTCAGCAAATTCTTTAACCCATGGTAATTAACTAGATATTACTTCAGTGGCCTATCAATACTAGGACTTTGGCAAGTCAAACATACTATAGCCTTTAAATTTTTTAAGATGCACCCCTTAAGCATGAATACTCAAATATTTATAAAAAAAGTTACACCTTACAAAAAAATTCTATAATCTACTATCTAATGGCTTTGAGCTCGACTTTTTTTTAAACATAACAAAGTTTGTTTTTTCTTAACATTTTTCTACCTGGTAACACATGGTATTTATATTTAATTGTAAACTGTCTAGGCTTTCTTTAGTACACTTTAGTCAAATATTTATATTCAGAATATTAAAAACCATGGAAGAACCACATTCTAAATTTCATGAAAATTGCATATTATAGTATAAGTGGCAATATTGGCTTTAGGCTTATTACTAATAACCCTTAACCTCAATTAAAAAACTGCTTTATACCTTGAATAGTGATAAATTCTAGAGATCCAATTTAAGTAATTAACATTGTTAGAACTGCACTGTTAACTATATCAGTAATATCTTATAACTCTAAAAAAAAATAACATTATACTATTTGGTGCACAAAATTGTTGTTTAAGGTTAGTCTCCCTTTAATCATGAATACATCTTTTAAATAAAATCTTAGGATTTCAATATTTATATCAACCAGAAAGTTTAAACTCAATTTTCCCTATATCCCATTATCTCAATCATGTTTTCATAATTTTCAATTCAAATGTTTAGAGTTAAAATAATACAACAATAATTTTTTGCTTTTAAAGAAATCAACAGAGCTATCTGGATATCATACACTGCAAAATTTACTGCAACTTCACTTTCTTTGCACACTAATACCAACACTACAAATAACATGATTAATGTTCTTTGGAGTAGACTTTCTCTCATAACTCTTCTTTGTGGGAAACTTTATTATCTATTCTATCTCTTCAGCAGATAAATACAGAGCGTTTTACAACATGACAATCATTGATATCAGATTGCTCACTAAGAGCATCGTTTTCCGATTATAACACAACTTGTAGGCTCATGTTCACAATTGACCTTTTCCATTTAGGTTTTTCTCACCATAATCTCCATACTATAACATACCCTTATTAATTTTATTATCACTTTACAGTTTTTAGACCAATGATTAGCGTATACTCACATAATCTCAAATATATTTTCCTCGTATATAAGACACCTGACACTGTCTTTTTGCTCTTATTTTCCTGCTTAGCCATCGCTGTGTTCAAAAATCACAGACGTGTGAAAATTGTTATTAGCTTACAACCAGAGATGGTAACTCTGGAGCTGAAGTCTTATTAAACTTAGTAAGCCTCCCTTTGTTTAAAAAATCTGCTTCAAGTAGTTGTTGCTCTTTTTCCAAGTGAGTTCACTTTGAAAGCCGATGTTAAAATCAAAATGATCATTTTGGTTATATTTCTCTTGAACAATATCCATGCAACATATAGATGATTATATATGTTGCGAGAAATTCAAAAATTACTAAAATACAGATGAGTCTCTTAACTTCTAGGGTT